GGCACGCTCCCCGGGCAGCCGGTGGGCCGTCCCCATGCCAGGGCAGAGAGCCAGGCCGCGGCCGTCCCCACACTCCTCTGCCGTTCGTGTGCTCACGGCCGGCCCAGCCCCGTGGCGGAAGGGCGGGACAGGTGCCGTGTCGGTGCTGGAACTGAGGCTGCCACGTTCTCCGCTTTCTTTCCTGGTCGTGCTGCCTGCCCGTGCCCAGTGAGCGGCTCTGCGTGGAGATGGCGGATGTGATGGCTGCCGAGGGCTGGAGGGACGCAGGCTACGAGTTCGTCTGCATTGATGACTGCTGGATGGCTCCGACGCGGGATGAACATGGCAGGCTCCAGGCTGACCCAAAACGGTTCCCCAGCGGGATCCGCAAGCTGGCCGACTATGTGAGTGTCAGCTGCTGCAGCATAGGGCAGTGACAGCAGTCAGGGACCCAACCTGGAGCCACGCTGGGAGCAGGACAGGGGAAAGGCCGGGTGGGGAACGGCTACGTAGCTGCTGAGCTCAGGCCCTGCCTCTCAAAGTGGGGTTTTGCTTCCTTGCCGGCTCAGCTCCGCTTCCTCCTGCCTTGCAGCTGCCTCATCCCCAGTTCTCTTTCTGTCTGCAAGCACAGGTCCACTCCAAGGGGCTGAAGCTGGGAATCTACAGTGATGTCGGGAACAAGACGTGTGCTGGCTTCCCTGGCAGTTACAACCACTACGACCTGGATGCCCAGACATTCGCCTCCTGGGGTGTGGACCTGCTAAAGTTTGACGGCTGCAACTCTGGCACGCTGGAGCTGCTGGCAGAGGGTAGGTGTGGGCGCAAGGCAGCACTGCACCACGGGGTGGGAATATTCTGCAGGCAGCAGCAATTCTAGGCCAAGGGTGGGCTCTAGGGAGTTACTTTTCCCTGAGCATACTCTTTTAAGGGATTTGCTTGCAAAAGCAGATATGAGACTCTGTTCCCAAGCCCAAGGTAGCAAGAGTTGCTGGCCCAAGTGTTTCAGCCTCCTGGAGCTTTCACTGGTGTGCGCAGCTTGAAAAAGCAGCTTTCTCACACCAGAGACCGCATCATGCTGAGCACTGAAACACTGACTGCATACTCTGGGGGCTGTCTGTGCAGACTGCCGCCTCAGCTCTTAACGCAGCAAAGGCTTTACCCTTCTGCAGTGCCTTTACTGGAGAGCTCAAAGCATTTCACACACTTAACCTGTAATCCCTTTGGTGAGGCTATGTCACCGCAGATAAGCTTGAAGCTAGAACAGCTTGTGTCAGCTGTAAAAAGGGCAGTTATCAGGGCTTTTAACAGAAATAAATGAAGGGAATTCTGGCATGAAAATCCTATTGGGGCTTTCATTTTAAAGCACACCAGTGTAAATCCCAGTTCAGAAGTATTTGCACACAGGCTGGCAAGTCAGCAGCTGAAAGCTTCAGTAGCTCACTGTGCTGGGGGGGCTTGGCTGCAGACTGCAAGGACAAGCAAATCCCAGTACCACTGGAGTAGATCTGTAGGAAGAACGATGCAACTTAGAAGGCGGTTTTCTCTTGACTGGGCTCTCGCTGCTGGCACGTGGTGTTTTGGTGTTGGACAGCAGAAATCCTGCACGCAGTCCTGGCTCTGCCTGGCAGGGAGAACCTGCCCAAGTGACAATCCCATTGAAGCCAGTTGGCGGGGCATATGCCAGCTGTCACAGCCAGGAGCACAGCTCAGCACCATAACTGACAGCTGAGCTGAAAGCTCTTGTTGGGTCATATGTGTAACCCAGATAGAATCTGGTTGTATTGAAGCAGTTCCAGGGGAGAGAGCAAGCTTTTTGTTCCCTCTGCTGATTAAAATGGACTTAAAAAGGATTGTCTGGGGACAAGGACAGGAAAAAAACTAGTGCTTTTGAATTCCTGCCCTGTCCATATGGCGCAAATGGCCTCATAAGGACATAGTCCTGCAACATTACCCAGCAAAGCTGTACCCAGCTGCTTGACAGATACCAACTTGTATTTCCCAGGTATCTAGAAGAAAAAATGCCACACAGCAAACCCGCAGCCTCTACGCACAGCTGTATGTACAAAGAGATCATCAGTCTCAAAGCAATAAGCTTGCCCATGACCTGTAGCAATGCTGTAAAGAAGCTCACCTGTCCTTGGGAGGCAAGAAACAGGCTGCAGACTATAAGCTCCCCTGTCCTCCCTGTGGCATTTCAGCCTTGATTTTGCAAGAGTTGAATTGAAACTTGAACCTGTGACATTAGATTAGTTCCTCTGTTTGACCAAGGAGATTGTGTAACCTCTGCCTGTCCTCTTCCTTTAGGTTACAGGCACATGTCTCTGGCCCTGAACAAGACTGGAAGGAGCATTGTGTACTCCTGTGAATGGCCTTTCTACTTGAGACCTGTGCAGCAGGTAAGGAATGTTCCTCAAGGCTTATCCTGGGGCTGAGAGTGGGAAGAATAGAAAAGCATTAAGACTGCGAAACAGCCTCCTGAGAAACTTGCTGCTCTCTGGTCTGACAGAGAACAAGACTGTAAGGTGGAGGAAAACCACTTTTTCCTCTAGAGCCCTGAAGTATACCTGAGGCAAGTCATTACTCTGTTGAAAATAATTCATTAGGATCCAGGCACAGCCCAGCTGGAGCATGCCAAAGAACACAGCAGCATCCATCTGCTTTCTGTCTCCAAGGAACCAAGCAACAAACATTGGCAATGCAGACACACAGCTAGCAGATAGTTCCGTGTTATTCTTCCTGGACGCAGAGTGCTGTAAACTCAGCCTTACAGTCACCTTTAGGGACCAGGAGAGACATTTTAGGACAGCCTATTTGATAAAAATTTTCCACATTGTTTACTGACAGATTTCTGCCAGCCAGGGTCCATGACCGATACATTGCTCTCCACTCATAGCTGTCCCCTGTGCCACCATGACAGGATGCTGCCATTCCCTCCCACTGGGAGTACAATGCATTAGTCACCAAAGGGTGTAAACCCAAGAAATGGCAGTAATTACTAGGATGTCACAGTTTAATCCCACTGGCCCCGCCATACCTTCAGTAAAATAGCACTCAAAGGAATTTTCTAACAGAGCTAGGTGGCCACAACAATTCTCCCAAGGGAAGCAATAGTGTTGTCTGAAGCATGGCAGACTGGAATTACTGGGCACAAGGCATCCTAGGGAACCAACATGTACTAAGTCATCCAGATAGCTGGTCATGGAAGGTGTTATCATTGTTCTCCTTCAAATTATCCCTGATCCCGTCTAGCTTTGTGTACGGTCTCGTTCTTGTACAGCCAGGCTCTCTGGCTAATCACACTGTTTTGGCAGCCCAATTACACAGAGATCAAGCAGTACTGCAATCACTGGAGGAACTTTTATGATGTCTATGATTCCTGGAGAAGCATCAAGAGTATCTTGGACTGGACAGCACTTCACCAGGACAGCATTGTGAAGATAGCTGGGCCAGGGGGCTGGAATGATCCTGACATGGCAAGTAGAGCAACACCCACCTTCCCTGCAGCAGCAGCAGCAAAAAAATCCTTTCCTCATAGGGAGGGGGAGAATCGGGGGAAGGGCTCTGATGGGGCCTTAGGATCAGGAATTTGATGAGAGGTAAAGAGAACTACAGCTACGGAAGGTACTGAGGACACACTGTCTCTGTGTAATGCAGCCTCTACAAGCAACGCTAGTTCAGAACACAGCTGTGACAGTGGGAGACAGTCTCCAACGTGCTCATTTCCCACCAGAGGGAAAAGCCCTAGGTGCCAGCATTGTAAGGAAGGAATAGCTGCATCCAAAAGCAGATTCTTGAACACTGCCTAGCCAGTTAAGGATCCTTCTTTACCTCCACCAGTGGTTCATCCTAAATTGCCACACTAATCATGCCCTGCCTTTCCCAACCAGCTGGTCCTGCTCCTCGCTTTTCTAACCAGTCCCCAAATAGGGGTCCCACCCTCAGCATCCTGTCATTTACCAGCGCTCGCATTGCTGGCCCAGTTTCTCTTCAGCAGGCAGCATTACCAGGCATTTTTGTTTTCTTGTCACAGCTGGTGATTGGAAACTTTGGGCTGAGCTGGGACCAGGCGGTGACTCAGATGGCAATGTGGGCTATTATGGCAGCTCCCCTCTTCATGTCCAATGACCTGCGGCACATTAGTCCTGAGGCCAAGTGGCTGCTCCAGAACAAGGAGGTGATCGCCATCAACCAGGATCCGCTGGGCAAGCAGGGATACCAAATCACCAAGGTATGGCAGGACCAGGCTGGGGGTGCGGTGTGGGGCACAGGCAGGCAGCCAGCCTCCTCAGAAAGGGGACACGGGGGACACACGGGGTATAGAGGAATGCTCAGGGTTTGGGAACAGGAGCCCAGTAAGCCCACTTGGCTTAAACAGACAGGCATGAAGACCATCAGTTCTGCCTCCCCTAACAGAAACCCTGCGTTTATTTTCTCCTTGGCAGGACAAGAACTTTGAGCTGTGGGAGCGGCCCCTGTCTGGCCATGCCTACGCCGTGGCAGTGCTGAACCACCAGGAGATTGGGGGACCCCAGAACTTCACCTTCTCCCTCACCTTCCTCGGCAATGGGCTGGCCTGCAACCCAGCGTGCTCCGTCCGGCAGATCCTGCCAGCCAGCAGGGACTGGGGGCTTTACAACTGGGTCTCATCCCTGAGTGTGGAGGTGAACCCAACAGGCACTGTGCTGCTGAAAGTAGTGGCACTATAGGAGGCACAAAGACAATCTTTTCATAAGCCTCAGACTCTGTCTAACCTTGTCACAAGAAGCCTGTCTCCTTTCTCCAAGCAGGGTGCCTTTGTTCTCTCCTCAGACATTCACTACTTGGGCTTCTACATGGATTTTGAACTTTCAGCCTGGTGTGACAAATACCCATCACTCCATCACCAAGAGGTAACAGAGAAAGGAGCGCTGCTTCTCTCCTGTTTACCCTTTCTCTGGCATCACACCTAACTCCTTCTCAAAGGGGCCAGAAGGGCTCCAGCAGGGCAGGAACTCCTGTAAATGCCCACTGCCACTACCAACCAAAGAAATGCAAAGGATACGTGCAGCATCTCGCAGCTTTCCTCGAGCATTTCAGGGATAATAGGGAAACACACCCTGGCTGCCTTGCTCTTGCTTTGCGAGGCTGGGGCACAGGGTCCAAGAACAAGAAAAGCTGCTCCTACCCCGGCTAAAGAAACCCAACACTATCCTCAGAGCGTGGACATGTACTTCCACCTTCTGACAACTCAGGGACTGACCTAAATGATTGTACTTCTTCGCAACTGCTTTCCTGACAGCTGCCTGCTTAGTATAAATGTGTTAAAGTATCATGCCTTAGAACTCAGCTTTTGAGGGTTTCTCGTTATCCCAGGAATCTTCCTCTCACCAGTGGTTCTAATTTCCCTTTAGATGACAAATCCCTTCATGGGCCCACTGGGGTCCCGTTCTTCAGTGAGCTGCCTTCCAGAAATACCTGTGTGCTTGCCTTCCACTGCTGGCAGTAGCCTTTAAGTTGAATAACACGGGTCATTCTGAGACAGGAGATGGATAATTAATTACTTGTGCAACCATTATGTACAAGTATTTTCTCTTCTGATTACTACACAAGCAGGATATCTTGATTTGTTCTCATTTCTGTGATTAAGCACTTTGATTAAAATGTCCCTTAAAAAGGCTAAGCGTTTTCTTAGTTCCACTGTACAGGAGTACAGCATGGTATCTGAAATTAAATCATGTTTTAGAAAACAAACCAGTTGGTAAAGTCACTAAAATCTTGTGATATTTGTCATGATTACTACAAACAGCACTCAGTAAAGCTGACATGATTTAACTATACAGTCCATCTCATGGGCAAAGGCCAAAGCCACTGCTGCCAACAGTTTAAAAACGCCAGTCACATCAGGCAGTACTGCGTAAGCAAAAAGACAAATTCTGTTAGTTTGACAATTGAGTGCTCTCAGTCCCTGTGAAGAGGCATTTCTCCATCCTCCAGCTCTACTTCCACTACAAGAAGGTTACGCTTAAGAAAGCTCCGCATTGTGCTCCCAGCATCTGCTCACAGTGGACTTCCTGCTCACAGGCAGCAGAGTGCTGCCTCAAGTGGATGACCCCGTCAAAGCCCAGGGTAGGAACAGCAGTCAAGACATAGGGGACAGGCAACAAGCCTGTGCCACCATCAGTTTTTGTGTGACAGCATGCAGCTGGGGGAACCGTGGGCATGAAGCTGTCCCTCTCCTGTTCCTGAGCTACCATAACACTCACAGTCACTGCACAGGTCATAGCTGAGCCACAGAACGTAACCACTGCCTAATGGTGCAGGTGGTACTAAACCCACTATCTGCTCCAGGGCCTTTGCGCATGCATTACCCCATACAGCAGTAAAACCGTTCCTGTTTGTAAAGAGGAGCCTACAGCCAAGTGCAGGGGCTATTCGAGGAAGTTCAGATTACTCTGGTCCTTACTGTGTTGAAACAATTGTTGGGTACAAGGAATCTTACCTGCCTCTCCTCTTCGGTAAGACCTTGGAGAGGAAAAAGGCCTACGCAGGCAGCTCTGCTTCTTTAGGGTGGGTTTTTTTTGGGTGGGTTTTTTGTTGTTGTTTTTTGTTTTGTTTTGTTTTTTTCCCCAATCACTACATCATCTAACAATTCAAATTCATCATCGCATTCCTCAAACAGAACCACGAGACATGAACTGCTTTGAACAAAACAAGCTGCAGAAGCTTAGAGGAGAGTCTTTTCAAAACAGCCTTCTACTATGGAAACTCATAAATAAGCCTGGAGAAAAGCAGCAGCACAACGCTCAGGCAGAGAAGCCACTGGTGCAAAAATCCATCAGAGCCTCAGGCTCTACATTTATTCTAAAACACCTCTTGGTAACACAGCAAGGACATACCAGCCATCGGCAGGGTTTTTCAAAAAGCCTTCAGATTACAAACTGTTCATTTACTAAGCAGCTCTGCAAGCAACACCTTCCTGTTGGGTTGATGTACTTGCAAGTCCTACCCCACCAACAAGAGAATATACACAAAACCAAGCAACAGATCACTTCCAAATATTTTAATATGGTCCACAATGAGTATGATGGAGCTTAGAACTGGATCACCTGGCCCTGTGAGAAGGAAGAGACAGAGCAAGTTTATTCACCACTGAACATTGCCACCCTTTCTCAACCACTCGCGGTACACAAACATACCTTTCTCTTCTTGTCTCCTCCCAGTTCAAAGTGCTTGCACCTCTTAATCGCCAGCATCCTCTTGGACCTGCAGTTGGGCTCCATGCACTCCAGCCTCAGCACAATCTTTTTCGTGGTCTTAGCCTGAGAGATGAGCAGACCATATCAATGACCAAAATGTCCACAAGCAAATTGCCGCGCGCTCTCAGGAAAAGTTTGTTATCTGCACTTCTGAAGAGTCAGCAGCTTGTTCTCAAAGTATAAAGAAAAAGACTACTAACATAGTTTGGCTCCCTCCATTAAAAACAAGGCAGCACCTTAAGGACCAGTACCAGGAGTATAGCGGATCTGTACCATCACAATAAAGGACACCGGCAAAAGCTTTCAGTGGTGCAGGGCTGGTCCCCTGCAGGGATCAGCCTTATGGGAAGGAAGTCCGTGCCAGTGAACACACCAAGGAACAGGTACTTCTGCAGTGCGGGACAACAAACTGACACTGCTGAGGAGAAGTTCAGCAGAGAGCCGGGCAGAAGAAACATCTGAAAGTAGCACGACTGACACACTTTCCCCAGGAACAGCAACACCACGTGCTCAATGCAGACCCGCATAACTGGTAAGTTAGATGAAAACCAAGACTAGAGACGGAAAAATCCAAAGCTTTGAGGCTAATGTAGGTAGCTGGACAGAGCTGTAACCACCAGTTAGAAGTCTCAGCCAATCACCCATATAATGCTGACTGGGAAGAAACAGAAATGGGGATGGCAATGTACAGGTGGAGAGTGCCAAACTGCGTGAGCAGTACAGCTGCTTTGTGCACCCTGCTTGCAGAAGCATTTTCTGCAAGGTCCCTCCACTTCCTGGCAGAAAGTCAACTTGAAAAACTGCTGTCTCATATTTTTTTTTTCCCTTCTTGCTGGAAGACTTCCTGAACATCTCCAGCAGAACACCAGGGCTTTCCAGCAACGAGCCAAATAGCTCTGTAAGCGTAACTAAATAGTTCACACAAAAAATACAACAAATCAGCCCATCAGGTTTTGCTTCCCTGCTATAAATGCCAGATTTTGCTCCCCTCAACTCCTTGACAGGAGGTACATGGAGACACAGCGGGAAAACTTTCTGCAAGACTACAGTCCCAGGTACCTGCACTGAAGAGAAAGGATGATGGAAACAGGTTTCTGCAACTTATCTGTTACAGAATGCACTGCTGCCCTTCCACTGCTGCTTTGAGACTCTCAGGAAAGGCCTAATGGAGCATTTACTGGCTCAGTGATACTGATTTCCCTGGAGACAACAGATGGCAAGAAAACAATATCCTGTTCTGCAGTACCCCCAGGAGTTGCACACACTTCGCTTCTATCGTACCCTTGTCAGTGAAGGCAGCCTTACTACACAGAGAGCTTCATAAACCTGGCCAAAAGTTTCATTGATAAAATACTGACACATTGAGAACATAGGGAAAGCAAGCAGCTGGCTCCCTTTCCCTTTGCTGTACTCCTCCCCTTTGGCAAGCAATGAGAAAACACTCCTTTCATTAAAACCATCGCTTCCAACAAGACCCCCTCCCCTCCAGCATCAAGGCTCTCTGCAGAACTTGCTCTGCAAACACATGCTACATCACTCCAGCAAGAAAAAGGAGCACCTACGTGACACAGGAGCAGCAGCAAAGATAAGCAGATGTGATGTGGAACTTACACTTCCCAGACAGCACTACCAGCACAGAGCTACCATAACACACCTTGAGCACAGGACCACAAGGATGCAGGAGGCTGAAGTGTCCTTCTTCAGCTAGGCATGTGGATTGCCAAGAAGGTTTCAGGTCCTCCTTCCAGGACCAGCACTCACCTTCTTACGGAAAATGGGCTTTGTCTGGCCCCCATAGCCACTTTGCTTCCTATCGTAGCGTCTTTTTCCTACAGGAGAAAATGGCTCTGTTTAGGCAACAACTCAAGACATGTTGCAAGTACAACTGGCACTCTTACCAAACCCTAGCAGACCTCAGCCTGCAGCTCCACAACCGATCAGAAGCAATCCCCCCTTCTCCCACAGCCACCTCCTCGGCCCACAACCACCCAGGCTCCACGCAGCCCCCCCCGGGCCGTGCCCCTGAGACCCCGCAGTGCAGCCGTCCCTACCCTGGGCGTAGAGGGACTCCTTCCCCTTCTTGTACTGGGTGACTTTGTGCGGCTGGTGCTTGCCGCATTTCTTGCAGTAAGTTCGACGGGTTTTCGGAACGTTCACCTGGAGGGACAGGGAGAAGCCGGTCAGCACAGCCAGGAGCCGCGCAGGGAGATAGAGAGACGAGAGGCCACACCGCGCTCCAGGGGCTCCCTCGCCCCGGCACTGCCGAGCGCAGCCCGGCCGCCCTTCCGCTCCCCT